CGCCACACCGGCTATAACACTGGATGACCATCAGCCATTGCTCTCTAAACCGGAAATAATAATGGAGAAGATACCTTTTCAACTGCAAAATAAAAGTCTCAAGTTCGGCTCTTTTGGATCTTTTGCAAGAAAGTTCCCCTGGAGTCCACTTGCGCTCCGGAGTCCGAGAGGGAGGTCGAGACCGAGCTCCGAGCCTCAGCAGCCGCGCCTGGCACAAGTCGGGAATGTGTAACGGCCGCTGGAAGGAATTAACAGAGGAGAGAAAGTCGGGGAAACAGCTCTTGATGACCGAGACTGCTTATTTCTCCATCATAACTACCAAATTTGGGACTCCGGGCCTCTGGACGTGTGGGGTGGGGGGACCGCCGCTCGGGTCGTTTCGCGTTGACGTCGGTCTGGGCGCGTGTGTGGGTGACCTCCGGGCCAGAGCGGCGACTACTAACGGTAACCCTGTTTATGTTTGATTATCTGGCGTATATGGAAGAATTGTAAGGCGCCGGGAACACCTCCTTGCATGTCTATTAGGCTTCGTGGCAAATTGTAAATGTTGAATAGCACGGTTTAACATTTACAACTCCGCTTATTCTCGTTAGATGATGAGTAAGACCAAGGCGAGTTGGAAGCAAGATTTGTTCATGGAAATTTGATGTTTCCCATTAAACTCAACAAAGAAAATGAGAACCAGTCTTTTCGAGACGGAATTAAAAACACGAGAGCCGATGGAATCTCCCTGCTTAGAGACTTACCACACGCATTCTCCTGCCAGGTTTTCGACAGAGAAATTCATATTCCTTTAAGCTGGAAGAAAAACCCACAATGCACAAACTAGATTTATTGATGAAAGTGAGACAACAGTTTCGGAATCGTCCTCGATTTCATCTTCGATTCCTTTAAGCTATAACTCGACGAAATATTATTCCCGAGAAGAGCTTGTGTGTATTTTCAACAGCTCTTACTTAGGTTAATCCAACTCGGCTGTCACTGGATAGAATGCTATCGACCTTTTGATAGATATTAAAGATCCACTTTGTCCGCCGTGGAGAGCAGTGTCCATTCATACTTGTGGCTGATTCTGAGGTGTTACTGTGTGTCTGTGAGTGCTATTTGCCATGATTTATTTATCAGGAAGAGGTATCTGGACGCTCCCGCCTTCACGTGTTCTCATGGAGGCGCTGTCTTAATTAACCTCCTGGGACTTCGCTGCCTCGTGACCTGACCTCACTATGGCCTGCGGCTCTGACCTGACCGCCCGCGAAGTGTAGCTCAAAAGGATTAATTGCCTTAGGGTTCCGAAAACCGATTTTTTTGTTTGTTTGTTTGTCTTGGGAGGACGTGATGGAGGCCTAATGAAGAGGTTTTGTAAATTGATTTTCTTTCAGTCGCTCCATGTACGAGGAAAACGGAATAGGCCTATATTCATCTATAGGCCTATAGTCATTATGTGAATTGTTTAAGTATATCAGAATTTGGAACTGAAGTTTTTCCTTCGCTTTTGAATCGGGGTATATGTTGGTGGACTGAAATATTTTTTTAGAAACATGTTTCTTTTTTATGCATTTATTTATTTATGGGTGCGTATTTGCTCTCTCTCTCTCTCTCTCTCTCTCTCTCTCTCTCTCTCTCTCTCTCTCTCTCTCTCTCTCTCTCTCTCTCTCTCTCTCTCTCTCTCTCTCTCTCTCTCTCTCTCTCTCTCTCCATATCTCGAGTCCTTCTCTTCTTTCTCCCTCTCCTATCTTTATTCTCCCTTTCTCTTCTGTGCGCCTGCTTCTGTGGGTGTTCGTGGTGTGTGTTCTTATTCAGTGCATGAATTTATATACTGCATATTAATATATGTAAACAATCCCGGACGCGTTTTCGATCTTATCAACACGTCCATCACTGGCACCGATTGATATTCGAGGCAGTGAAGCCGTACACACACGCACACGGACACGGACACGCACACACGCACACACAAAAAAACATACGCACACGTACACACGCACGCACGCACACACGTATATACGCGCACATGCACACGCACACGCATAGCACAGCACACGTACACACACACACACACACACACACACACACACACACACACACACACACACACACACACACACACACACACACACACACTTCTTCAAACGACCTCTGGAGCGCCGACAGACTCTGCCTCGTCCTGCATGACCCATGACCGGAATTTAGCCTCCTTCCCCATTCTCAGTCCTCCCCCCCTCCCCCCCTCCCCCTCCCCAATGCCATCCCCATCCTCCGCATCTGTCACGTGATTTTCATTCCTGGCACTCCACCCCCCCCCCAAAAAAAAAAAAAAAAATATATATATATAATATAGATATATATATATATATAGATAGATAGATAGATAGATAGAATAAATAGATAGATAGATAGATAATAATTATAAAAAAAAAAAAAACATATGATACAAAAATGTCATCTGAGCAAGAGTTATGCCAATTTATGGACGATTGACATTACTGGCGGTTTTTGCGAAGTTCGGAAGAGTAGGATGTCACCTGCTGTCGGGAGGAAGAAAAGGAGGAGGAAGGAGGATAATATATATGTGTGTGTGTGTGTGTGTTTGTTGGGTGTGTGTATGTTTGTGTGTGTGTGCGTGCTGTGTGTGGGTGTGAGTGTGAGTTTGTGTGTGTGTGTGTGTGGGTGTGTGTGTTGTTGTGGTGTGTGTATGTATGTATGTATGTATGTATGTATGTATATGTATATATATTGTAAGCTTGATAAGACATGGTTATGCAACCGATGAAGAGAGAGAGAGAGAGAAATATGAAAGAAAATGAGAGAGAGATGCGAAGGGATGGAAAGAAAGGAAAAAAAAGACCGGACGAGAAATGAAAAAAAGTCAAAGGGAAGAAGATAAAAAAAAGATTTAAGGAAGAAAAACATGGAAAAACCGCCCGCCTTCTGCCACAGCTGGAGTAAACGAGTAAAAAAAAAAAAGCTAAAGGCGGGCGGGGCCGAGGACCACCTGTCGGGGGGGCGTTGCGGGCGTCGGCAGCGATAGCGTCCAATGCATAATGCCTGAGTGATGCTTTGGGGCGGGATACGACACATATTCAGCGACGCACGTCATTCAAGTGGCTGGAGCATGGCAGCCTATGCCTTTCCTCTCTTCGTGTGCGCGTGTTGGTGTGCGTGCGTGCGTGTATATAGGCCTATGCCGTTTTCCTCGTCTTCATGTGCGCGTGTTGGTGTGCGTGTGTGCGTGTATATAGGCCTATGCCGTTTTCCTCGTCTTCATGTGCGTGTGTACGTGTATATAGGCCTATGCCGTTTTCCTCGTCTTCATGTGCGCGTGTTGGTGTGCGTGTGTGCGTATATAGGCCTATGGTTTTCCTCGTCTTCATGTGCGCCGTGTGTGCGTGTATTTATGCCTTTTTCCTCGTCGTGCGTGCGTGTGTGCGTGTATATCTATGCCGTTTTCTACGTGGTGTGTGCGCCCGCCGTGCGTGTGCGTGTGTGCGTGTATATAGGCCTATGCCGTTTTCCTCGTCTTCATGTGCGCGAGTTGGTGTGCGTACGTGGTATATAGGCCTATGCCGTTTTCCTCGTCATTCATGTGCGCGCTGTTGTGTGCCTTGCCGTCCTCGCAGTGTGCGTGTGTGGTGTATATAGCCTATGCCGTTTTCCTCGTCTCAATCGCGTGTTGGTGTGGCGTATATAGGCCTATGCCGTTTTCGTTCATGTGCGTGTTGGTGTGCGTGTACGTGTATATAGGCCTATGCCGTTTTCCTCGTCTTCTGTGCGCTAGTGGTGTGCGTGTTGTACCGTGTATATATAGCCATGCCGTTTCCTCGTCTTTCACTGTGCGCGTGTTGGCCAACATGTGCTGTGTATGTATATAGGCCTATGCCGTTTTCCTCGTCTTCATGTGGCGTGTTGTGGTGCGTGTATTGCTATGCGTCGTATATAGGCTACTATGCCTATGCGTTTCCTCGTCTTCATGTGCGCCTGTTTGTGTGCGTGCGTGCGTATTATATAGCCTTATGCCGTTTTCCTCGTCTTCATGTGCGCGTGTTGGTGTGCGTGTGCGTGTAGGCCTATTATGCCGTTTTCCTCGTCTTCATGTGCGCGTGTTGGTGTGCGTGCGTGCGTGTATATAGGCCTATGCCGTTTTCCTCGTCTTCATGTGCGCGTGTTGGTTGCGTGCTGCGTGTATATAGGCCTATGCCGTTTTCCTCGTCTTCATGTGCGCGTGTTGGTGTGCGTGCGTGCGTGTATATAGGCCTATGCCGTTTTCCTCGTCTTCATGTGCGCGTGTTGGTGTGCGTGCGTGCGTGTATATAGGCCTATGCCGTTTTCCTCGTCTTCATGTGCGCGTGTTGGTGTGCGTGTATATAGGCCTATGCCGTTTTCCTCGTCTTCATGTGCGCCTGCCGTGTCGTGTTGGTGTGCGTGTGTGCGTGTATATAGGCCTATGCCGTTTTCCTCGTCTTCATGTGCGCGTGTTGGTGTGCGTGTGTGCGTGTGGGTGTAAGCGGATAAGAAGAAGCACTGGCAATTGCTCTCGCGGATCTCTTCAAAAGAGGAAATTATTTGTCATTTTAGTGCCATTTTTTCTCTGTGTGGTTGGCACGATTTGGCAGTCGGTTTCGTATGTAAAATATGAATATTCACATGTACTCTATAGCACATATATATTATATATATATATATATATATATATATATAATATATATATATATATATATATATATATATATATATATATATCTGTTTACCTATCATTATATCTATGTTTCTACGTATCTATGCATCTATTTCTCTATGTATCTATTTATCAATATACGTACATTATACCTTAAAGTATTCTTCATGTCCATGTATATTATGAACGCGTCGTCTTATTTAATATAGCCATCACCCACAGTGTCTGTCACGCGAGCCCTCAGCCGCCCTCCAAACGTCTTCGGACCGCGAGACCTAATCCCTAATCCCACAATCTCTTAACCCTTTCTCTGTCTCTTTATCTCCAGAGGGCGGCCGGTTGGAGAAGGAACTGGAGTACGTGGAGAAGAGTCTGGGCGAGGGCGCAGGCACCACCAAGCAGATCCTTATCCTCACGCCCAAGGACCAGGGCGCCAACATCCTGCAGCCAGCGGCACTGCTCGCCCACGCGGCCGTGCTGCGGGCGGCGATTTCCGTCAAGATAGAAATGTTCGACATGTAAGTTGGAACTTTTTTTTTTTTTTTTTTTTTCGTCGATTTAGTGTTGTTTTGTTGTCTGATTCGGTTACTAATTTTTTTCTTTGTTATTATTATTATTATTTAATTATTATTATATTATTATTATTATTATTATTATTATTATTATTATTATTATTATTATTATTGTTATTTATTATTATTATTATATTATTATTATTATTATTATATTATATTTTATTATTATATTATTATTATATTAATTATTATTTTACTTCTGTTTATTTGCACGTTTTGTTGAATTTCTCATTTATTTTGTTTGTGTATTTTATGTCTTTTTTGTTTGTATTTTTTACTCTGATTATTTGCACGCTGTAGTGTTTTACTTATTTATTTTGTTTATGTATATTTTATACTCATTTTGTTGATTTACTCCTTCATTTATTTATTAGTTTATTTACTAATTTATCTATTTACACATTTATGTATTTACTCATTTATTTATTTACTCAGTTATTTATTTACTCATTTATGTATTTACTCTTTTATCTATTTACTCATTTATTTATTTGATTATTTACTCCTGTATTTATTCATCAGTTTATTGTACTGGTTTGCATATTTACAAACACGAGTCTCGCACAAAATAAACAAAATTCGCCGGAAATTCTTGAAATGTAACATCACATTGCAAGAACACGATAGCATGGCAAAAAAAAACAATAATAATAATAAATAGAATAAAGAAATGAATAAGAAAAAGAAAATTAAATCCCGTAAGAAATGAAATAGACGCGGCGTTTCGGGAATAAACTTTACTCCTCCTCAGGCGTCCGCACCAAAAGGACTGTAATCCGTTGCCAGTTCAGTATTTCCTTTCTTGCGGGCGTACATACGTGTGTGCGTCTCTGGTCAGTATGCATACGCACATGCATGCCTATTTGCAGAAGTATATGTGTATTCATATATAAATATAATATATATATTATATATATATAATATATTATATATTATATATATATATATACTCATATATAAATTGTACAACACACGCACACGGGCGCACACACATACACCAACGACAAAGCTCCACTAAAACCTACACATCACACACAGACCTGATCTATTTGATTACATGATTATATATATAACCCGAAGGCGTGCAGATTCACCAACACACAACATATTAATGTATTAGATATATCAGTGGATTATACATTAGGTCATCAACGCACTGGATATGGTTTTGCAAATGCACAGCACCACATCAATCTATCCTTCTAATGTTATGAGAGACACCACACAGTTCTGAGGTATGATCCTACATGCAGGTTAGTTGTAATAATACATAGATCAAAATACATTGACTACTTTATCATACCAAACCACCACACACACATCATCATGCATAATATTCGGATATGCGTATCATAATGGTGTTCACATATTACACGCCCTCCGCACCCCCGCCACCCCTGTATGTTAGCGTCTGTCTATGAATGCTCCCCACGACACACTATATCACACGCACCCCCATTCCACCCCGACACTCACATAAACACGCCTCGCCCCCCCCCCCGAACAACATATCAATCGCACGGTCGTCCAAACTTCCCACCTCCCCTCACCCCGTACCGACAACATCATAACGTCGCATTCCTTAATCATTCTCACCTGCTTCAACTATATCATTTCTATAACACTACTGGATTTAGCCCCCACCACCCGCCAGTTCATGTCACCTAGAGTCACCTAGCTCGGAATCAACCCCCACAGCTCAAGACAAAACACACTTACGTCGGCAATAAACCCTCGAACCCCGGACTATGAAACCTTTAAGTCAGCAATCTGCCTCATCAGCCGACTGCCTCTTCGGGCACCGCGGATCTCTAGCGCCTCCGACCCGATCGAGCCGACCAAACTACCTCAGCCGACGCGATCCGCCGACATGTAACGGATGGCCGCAGATGGCGGAATCCCCATCCCCGACACTCCCAGCGGTGTTATGAGGGACTGGAGACCCGGAACCCTGGTGATTAATCCCTCATTAAGCCGCCGAACGAGATTTAGAAACGCAAATTGGAATTCCTTTGTCCTTGTAAAATGGAGTAAAAAAAAAGGGGGGGGGGGAGGGGAGTGTCCACCGTTGTTTGATCTTGGCATGGATCTGGCGTTCTTTGTGGAATTTGTCGTAGTTGTCGTTATTTCCGTGGGTGTTGTTTTCGAGGTGGTCGTCGTTGTCTTATTTTGGTTTGTTTATTTTTTTTATTATTATTTTTTTTACTATTGGTGAATGTTTTGATTTTTTTTTCATTCTTGTTTTTATATCTTGTATTGTAATTTTTTCATATTTATTTTTCTTCCTTTTTGTGATCTTCGTTTATCTTGTTAATCGCCATTACTTATTTCTTTTTTTCTTTCTTTTCGGTATGGGTTTTTGTGTTTTTTTAATCTCATTTTCCTGTCTCCCAATCTTATTCTTTCTATTTCCTTCTCTTTGTACTTTCGCTGTTTCTCTCTCTTTTCGTTTTCATATTCTGTTTTCCTTTGCTGTCTTTTTCTTTCTGTTTTCTACCTATATTTTTTTTTTTTGCCTTTTCTTTTCTTTCGTTTTTCGTCTTTTCTATCGCTCCTCTCTCTGTTTTTTTCCTTTCTCTACCCCTCTTCTTCCTTGTCTTGATCTTCCGATTTCCGATCTTTGTAAATTGTCCTTCTTTGTTCAGTCTCTCTCCTAACTCTTCCTTTTTATAAACCTGTTTCTCTTTCCTCCCATTCTTCCTTTCTTTCCTTTCTTCCCTTTTCTCTTCTCTTTCGTCTTTCCTATAGCTCTCGCCCCCCGCCGCTTCTCTCTCTCTCTCTTTCTTATTTTTTTCTTATTTTCTCCCCACTTATCATTTCTTTTCTCTTCTTCTCGTTCTCCCCATCCTTTCAATCTCATCTCATTTGTCTTCTCACCTCCCTCACTATCTCCCTCTTTCCCTCCCTCTTCCTCATCCGTCAGCGAGACAAAAAGAGATAATAAGCAAGAAACAAGAAAATCGCCGTTTCTGCAATGTGTTTCCCCGTCGTTCGTCTGCCGTTAATCCGGGTAATCACCGCAAGCGTTAAATCCAAAACGAAGCGAACGTAATGAGACGGCTGCCGGTTTTTTGAAGCTTGGTGCCGGTTTTTTGAAGTTTGGTGCCGGATTATTGAGGTTTGGAGCCGGTTTAATGAAGTCTGGTACCGTATTATTGTGGGATGGTTTATTGGGTTTTAGTGCCGCTTTATTGAGGGTTGGGGCCGGTTTGTTAAGGTTAGGTGCCGGATTATTGAGGTAGGGTGCCGGATGATTGAGGTAGGGTGCTGGTTTATTGAGGGTTGGTGACGGTTTATTGAGGTTGATTGCCGGTTTATTGAGGGTTAGTGCCGATTTAATACATTTGAAGCCGGTGCCGGATGGTTTTCAAGGAAATTTGATATGATTCTTATAAACTTCAAATCAGGTGTAAATTAGCTTTTTGATGAAATGTAAATATTACTCGAACTTGGTTCAAATTGACTCGCATTTGAGCTCAGGGGTGTTAAATGTGAAGAGAGAGAGAGAGAGAGAGAGAGAGAGAGAGAGAGAGAGAGAGAGAGAGAGAGAAAGAGAGGGGAGAAGACTAAAGAGGAAGAGAGAGAGAAAGAAGAGGAAAGCGAGGGAGAGACTGAAGAGAGAGAGAGAGAGAAAGAAAGAGGAGAGAGATAAAGAGAAAGATAGAGATAAAGAGCGGAGAGAGATAAAAGATAAGAGGAAGGGAGGAGATAAGATAAGAGAAGAGAGAGAGAGAGAAGATAGAGATAGAAGATAAAGAGGAAGAGAGAGAGAGAGAGAGATCAGTGCTTTAATGAGATCAGTCTGGGCGTGCCAACAAAATTGAATCTTGGCCGAAGCTTTTGGTGCCTGGGGATTCAACCCCGGCAAAAGGGTTGACTTTTTAACTCGATCGGCAACATGGTTTATTGTTTCCGTCAACGCAAACATACGGCAATACAATTCCAATTGTTTTTTTTTCATCCCTCCTATTCTCACCAGGCCGCTCCTGCACCCTCTGTCCACTCATTTTATTTTCACCATTAAACCATTTCACACTTCATTCTTCCTTCTCAAGGACCTTCCATCTGCAGCATCTCCTCCTCTCTTTCTTCTTTCTGTGTGTCTGTGTGATGTGTAGTGTGTGTGTGTGTGCCATGTGTGTGTGAGTGTCTCCTTCTCTATCTCTGCCTCTCCCGCTCTCCTCTTCCTTCATCCCTCCAACTCTCTCCACTTTCCTCTACTCCCTTATCTCTCTCTCCTCGTCTTCTGATCTCCTCTCGCTCCCATCTCATCTCGAGATATCTTCACCCCTCCTATCTCCCTTCCTTCTCCTCTAACCCTCTTCATTCTCCTCTCCTATCTCTCCTTCTCTTCCCTTCTGCCTTCATCCCTCTCTCTCCGCCTCCTCCCGCCTCTCCCTTCACCTATTACTCTCTCCTCACCTCTCACTGCCCATCATCTCAACTCATCTCCTCCCTCTCCTCACCCATCGTCACTCTCTTCCGTACTCATCCTCCGTTTCAACTCCACTCTCCCTCGTCCTCTCTCTCTCTCTCTCCTCTCATCCCTTCCTTCTCATCGTTTACTGTCTATTCCATCTCCCTCTCCCTTACATCTCCCTCCTTGTCGCATCCCTCCGCCGTAGTTCTCTCTGCTCCACTCTCCCGTTCGCCGAGATCTCCCTCCCGCGCCAGCTCGCGTCCCGCCACCTGCATCCCCGTGGGTGGCATCGCTCGCGAGGAGGAACCCGATCGCATCCACTGGCCATTGCACAAACATATACACTTTTTAAGCCGAAATCCAAATACCTTCTGGTATTAAGTGTGTTTAACATCGGCAACAGTACCCCACACGTGGTCTAAACAGAAGAAACAAACAGATCGCAAACGGGAAAATAAACGCCATGCTCGACTGACAGAAGGTGAGGGGCGAGACAAACACGGCCCTCGCAAAATAAACGGGG